GATTTTAGGAGTTCTTTGAAGCCAGAAGACAAGACTCAAATCTTCTGCCACAGGATACAAATGCAGTTCCATGCCTTTCCTGAGGGAAAAAAGAAGGAATACTACAAAATCAGACTCTCAGAGTTTAACTGGTCTTACACAGATTAGGATCACAGAGAGGAGAACATATCCCCAAGTCAGGACTTCTGGATCAAGCTTGAGTAAATAAACCTCAGGGAGTGAGTGGGTGAATGAGTCAACTGAAAGAAACCAAGAACAAAGGTGAAATTTTACTCTTCTGTGACTGCTGAGTATGCTCCCAGTTCAAAGGTGGGAGAGCTGTCCACCTTTAAGAATAGAATTTTTTAAAAAATCATCCTGAGGTGGAAGGTTTTATGTGTACTGGACTTGCAGAGCTGGCAAGTCATTACTAAAGAGTGACTAGTGCCAAAATGTGGGATGAGATCTTCATACAGCTTCTGATTAAGTGGATCTATTTCCCTAATCACCTGCCCAATATTCCAGTTGAGCCGCCAGCCAAAATCCATGAGGCAAATTTCATTGTTTGTGATGCCTAACCTGGAGTTGGCATCCTGTTGTAGTCATGATGGTGGGATGGATAGGAGGCTGAAAGATGAATTAATAACACTTAATTATGATGAAATATCGAAGTATGTTGGAAGGTCACCTTGTGTTATATAATTATATATTCATAAGAATTTAAATTCTTGCTTCAGCCCTTAGTGAATCTGAGACAGCAGCAACGATGGGAAAAACCTCCCTTAAAAATCCGAAGAATCATACTTGTTTTGGCATGACACTGCCTAGGGTGATCTGCTAACAAGGCGGACTTTGCCAAGCTTTCACATTAATGCAAGGTTCAGCATACATTTTAAAACATTAAATCAGCTTTCCATTTGCATGGATATGATTATTTGAATGCGTAGATTGTATTAGTTTAAAAGGCTCCAATATTCTAATACTCGAGCCAAAATTAAATACTCAAAGTAAGCGTATGTTAATTTCAAGCAGTAGTTCAAAAAAACGTCAAAAGTTGTCATATTGCTTGACTTTGGAAGATACAGAATGTGTCTGCTGCCACAAACAAAACTAGAATTGTAGCTACTGAATGTTTCAAGAATCAGAATCAGATCTTAGGGCAGAAGTAGATGCTCATGTCTGAGTGAGTTCATCATCATCATGGCTGGGCTTTGGGAATGAAGATTTGGGAAGGGCTCTACCCACGTTTGTTACAAGCGCGTTGGTGGCTAAAAAGGCCAATACGAGACAGGCATGTCTGGTTGCAAAATGCACAGCAGAAAGACTCCTTAGGTGGTATATTCTCCAAGGCACGATTCTTTCTGCGTTGTCTTTTCTCCTCAAGAGTGATCCTGCGTGCGTTCTCAAAAGCATCAGCAGCGTTATAGATGGTGTGTCTCCAGACCTCTCGATTGGAGGCCAGAGTAGACCAGTTATGTTGATCAGTATGGCCAAGGCTGAGATGTTGTTTCAGGGAGTCCTTGTATCTTCTCTTTGGGGCTCCTCTCTTGTGGCAACCAGTGGCAAGTTCACCATAGAGCAAGATCTTAGGGAGGCGGTGGTCCTTCATCCTGGAGACGTGCCCTGCCCAACGCAGCTGTGTTCTCATCAACATGGCCTCAATACTTGTGACTGCTGCTTGTTCTAGAACAGATATATTAGTGACATAATCTGACCAGTGAATGTTTAGGATTGTATGGAGACAGTGTTGATGGAAGTGTTTTACGAGTCACAGGTGGTGGCGGTAGATGACCCATGGTTCAGATCCGTATAAGAGAGTAGACAGCACTATGGCTCTGTAAACACTGATCTTGGTACTTTTCTTCAAGTGTTTATTTCGCGAAACTCTTTTATGAGGCTTTCTGAAGGCACTGTATGCCTTTGCTAACCTGTTGTCTATCTCTCCATCAATCTTACCATCCGAGGAGATGAGGCTACCCAGGTAATTAAACTGCTGAACTGATTTGAGCTCTGATTTGCCAATGGTGATGTGGGGATGATGGAAGACTTCCTGAGGTGCCGGTTGATAGAGAACCTCTGTCTTCTTTAAGCTGACTTCCAGCCCAAAGAGCTCAGCAGTGTCTGCAAAGCAGGATGTTAAACGCTGCAGAGCTGCTTCTGTGTGTGCAACAAGGGGGGCATCATCAGCATAAAGCAGCTCCTGGACAAGATGTTTTAAGGTCTTGGTGTGGGCCTTCAGTTGCCTTAGGTTGAAAAGGCTTCCATCAGTACGGTATCGAATGTAGATACCATCCTGATCATCGAGGTCTGCCGTGGCCCTTTGGAGCATCATGCTGAAAAAGACTGTGAATAGGGTTGGTGCAAGAATGCAGCCTTGTTTCACACCATTAGTTATTAGAAAGGGCTCAGAAAGTGCATTACCATATCTGACTTGGCCATGCTGATCCTCATGGAGTGAGATGATCATTTTAAGGAACTTGGGGGGACATCCTAAATGTTCCAAAATCTGTCATAGACCTTTTCTGCTCACAGTATCAAAAGCCTTGGTGAGGTCAACAAAGGTTACATAAAGACCTTTGTTCTGTTCCCTACACTTCTCTTGCAGTTGTCTGAGGACAAATACCATGTCTGTAGTACTCCTGTTGGCTCTGAAACCACATTGACTTTCAGGTAGAATTCCTTCTGCTATAGCGGGTATTAGTCTGTTCAATAGTATTCTTGCCAGGATTTTGCCAGCAATGGAGAATAGAGTAATACCATGGTAATTTGAGCAGTCTGATTTGATTCCTTTCTTCTTATACAAAGTGATGATGACTGCATCACAAAGGTCAGATGGTAGTTCGCCGAGTTCCCAACAGCGCACCACAGACTCGTGAAATTTAGCATGGAGTGCAAGGCCCCCATGTTTCCAGACTTCGGGTGGAATTCCATCAACCCCGGCTGCCTTGCCAATTTTCACCTGCTGAATGGCCTTGAGGGTTTCTTCTAAAGTGGGGGCAGTATCTATTTCATACTTCACTGGTTGTCGTGTGATGGACTGAATTGCTGAGTGAGCTAAGCTTTGGGTTTTTGTAGAAGACAGTATTGCTGTATACCTTAAGGCTTAAAAAAATACAGAAATCCCAAAATATGAGTTGCAATGGTCTTGTCAAAGTGGCTGCACTTAGGGAATATAATGTATATATCTGGGAAGCAAAGCATCTGTTATTTATAGTTTATTCAGAATCAAAATAAATAAAGCCCTTTATGGACAAGTAATAGGCTACCACATTTTACCCCATTGGATCAAATCTCATGTCATGCAGTTTCAAATCAGACTTGATGAAATTGTTCTCTCAATGTCCCTGCAAAAAGAGTTTGGAGTATAAGTTGATACAACGTGACCTGAATGGCAGCAAACATGAACGAGACAAAATGTATAATTACTTCATCAAAGCTGGTCAGCATGTCTGCCAGTTACTGCTTTTTCTTGGTGGCACAGATTTCTGAAGAGATTATTATGTCTAATTAAGAAATGTCGCAGTGCTCTGTGTCTGCTTACTGTATTTGGTATGGACTCACAAGACAGGCAGTGGAGTTCTATTGTCTACATGAGTGTAAAGGTGTAAAGTGCCATTTTTCAGTAATAACTCCTGGTTAGCAAAAGGAGGTCGAGATCATACACCTGCTCCTGCATATGGTCAATGAGAGGGGAAGGACTATAGTTGACTACTCCTTGTTCTGCCAGTGTAAATGGGAGAGGTCTTTCTTCTCTGAAAAGCAACGTGAAATTTTGTCTTTGGCTATCAGTGGTGTAAAGGTCCTGTATTAAACAGAAAAGGAGTACGTCGAGAGGGGCAGGAGAATGGATGTTTTGCCATAACCAAAGTCTGCCAGTGAAAGCATGGGAATAAACATAGTTTGTCAAGTCACTATGTCTCAGTCGAACAGCTTTAGCAACTGTAACCATGAGTTTACAGCATGCACTGTACTTGGAGAGCTGTGCTCCCAAAGAAAGAGGCAGCCTGGCTATCAGTCGACCCAAGTTACTATCTCAGTTTGCAGTTAGCCTTAATTGTGTTTCTTGGAGTAATCTACCATTTGTTGAACCAAAATGGTATGCAACATCTGTGGCCTGATCTTCACAGATGCCCTCATTCTTGGCCAGATCTTTAATCATCTGTCAGCAAAATGTTGGAATATCTTGGGAGTTTCAACATAAAATTGCACTGTTGTTCACAACTTACTAAATTCAACAAAGGTGGTAATACTGCTATAGTAATCAGGATTTCATATTTTCCTTAGGCACTATGGGGTGATAGTATTTTATACATGATGAGTGAAAATATTTTAAATTGCACTTTGAAAGGAAAAAGTGTGTACCACTCTCTAAAAGTATTTTTAGTCACTGTTTTTCTGAAAGCCTTTGGACATTCAGCCTAATAATTTGTTTTTTCCTGAACATATCTTTATTTATGCAGCAGAAGTATTCCTCTACTTCAAGGTAAATTCTGTACCGTTTCACACCCCATTCTTTACAGACCTTCATGAATCCATTGTCATTTATTTGACCCTTTAAATGTAGGAGCACATTTCCAATATATGGTATGCAAGAAATTTAATTTTGAATGTGTATTCATAATAATTAATCTCTAATTTTATTATGGTTTGTTAAATTGCATGACATTCACTCCGTTTTTGTCTTAGCAGCTATACGTTCTTTATAGAAAGCTGTTTTGTTAATGATATCATTTATAGGATAGTATTAGTTGAGAGAAGGTTATTTCATTCACGCTAAAGGACATAATTAAATTTAAAAGGTAGTTTATTCAAAAATATGTGTCATCTGTCCCCTTTGGCTGTCAGTTTTCGTAGAAACTTGAAAGGTACATTCACAGACTGGATAAAACATGGAAGCAGAAGAAGTGAAGTCTCAAAAAAATAACTCTCTTTCACCCTACTTTGGCAACTGTCAATGACAAGTATAAATTCACATTAATTAAAGCAAGTCACATACTAAAATAATTTTTTTATTCTTTCAGACCACTCTTCCGTGGAAATTCAGATGTTGATCAGCTAGGAAAAATCTTTGAGTAAGTAATAACTAGTTGCATTATGTCAATATCTGTTTAACATTGAAACCCTGTGAAATTTCTTTGCCGTGTTCTTATGCAATAATGTGACTAAAACAAAGTATTCCTAAAACATATTTCCTATTGCTGCCATAGGCAACATGATATTTCCGTATATTCTGTGTCAGAGTGGGAGGAGGAAGCAACATGGAATATAGTTATGCAAAACTAACAGCCATCATCAGGAAGTTATGTGACTTCTGTTTGGGGCTTTTTAAGTCTCTTAAACATATTGTGCATGTACCATTCATACATATTCCCAAACGTTTAAGTCCAGGAGATTTTCTTTATATAAACAAACATGGAGGTTTCGTTTTTCAGTTATTTCTTTGTGCATTTCAGAAAACAACCTTAAAACTGTTATTAACCTGAAATCTCTAAGATAATAACCAACAGCATTTTTGCAGAAAAGACTTCTGTAAATAAAATACTATATTAGTTTTTAAAATCTGCTGTGTAGCCTGTTAACAGTCTATATTGTGGTCAGGAAGGTAACTGTGAGAACGGAAGGAATATCACCATTTTAACATATGCTTTGTCAGAGAGGAATTGGCTTTATTTTAAAACCATTTTACATTTCTAGGAGTTTGTGTTTCTCTTTTTCAGATATATCCAATACAATAAAGAAATGGGTAGACTTTAAACTCTCTGACATAGAATAATTCTCTTCCAAAATTAAATTCTTGGTATTACCAATATGATTTAAGTAGGATTATATTACTATTTTTGTAAAAGGTCTTCAGAGTAAGAAACATTTCTGTATTTTAAGAGCCATGTAAATTTAAGATCCGATGTATGTAACATGTAGTTAGGAAACCAAAGCCACATAGGGCTGATACCAATCCAGAGAATGAATGCCTGTTTGCCTCTGCACCTCTGTCTTCCTTTTCTGTATGGAAAAGGCTGCAGGGATCCAAGAATCTGAATGAAATAAGAAATAGATAGCACAAAATGAGAGAGTGAGAGAGTGGGAGAGAGAGAGAAGTATTATTCTGAAAGATTATTATCTTGAAGATATTCCAAAGAGAAGATAGTAAAATTTCTAAGAAAAGCTTAAACGGAACAAATAATTAATTTCTTTGTTTAACCATTTTTCCAGTTCTCAAATCATAACAGATCTGTTTCTAAGCACTTTCATTATTTAATATGGGGTTCCTAAATTGCAGGTCTTGATTTCACACAGTTGACTTCCCTTTCCTGCATACCATACCAGTGTATGTGACTCACTTGTGTGGTTAATTTGTCATGCGCTGAATAGCTCTTCCTGCCCAATCCAGAAAAATCAGTCCTTAAAGTTCACTTTTTCTTCTTCTGCCAAAGCTACTCCTTTAGTCCTACATTGTTCTGCTTTATTAAATGAAGACAGCTTCTTGATGCATACAACATATTTTATAATTAAAAAAGACATAGCTGTGATTTTTTTGAAGGATTTTGATTAATTCGTGACATGTAAGGGGAAATTGAAAATTAACTGGGCTAAGGATTAATACATAGCTGCTAATGGCAGCCTCCAACAGGCATCTTTCCATCCCTAGGGGCCGAGATTACCTGTGCAGAAAAGAATTCACCAAGAAAAGAAAATGCCATGCTAAATTTAGAAGAAGTTCCTTCTTGCACATCTACTTAAAGCAAAAGTTTGGGTTTGCTTCTTTTGTGCAGTTCTTAAATAGTTCAGAAGTTTCTGTCTTGGATTCTGAGGGGTAATGCCAGATAGTGTTTATTTTGTGTTTCCACAGCTGGAGAACCCCCTACAGTTAGGCACCCTCTTGTAGGAGGGTTGTTCCTTTTTACAGTAGTGACTCATTCTGCAGATTAATTTGGACAGAAAGTAGTTTCGGGATTTTCCTGCAATCTGGACTGATGCATTCTTTCAGATAATGAGGCTGTGGTCTGCCTTAGCTTTGCATGTACATTCTGATTTTTGTCAGGTAGAATTCCACTGAGTGTGAGAGTAAATCCCTCGCACATGGCCCAAAACATTTTCCTGCTTTTCCAGGACACTGTCAGCATGTGGCATATCCTCATAGATTTCAGGCTAAATGCTGCAATGGTTTGAACAGACTTGTCTCCCATTGTGATCAATGGGAGTGGAAAGTACTCAGCATTTCTCAAGAACAGGCCTGAACCTTTGGCAATAGGTGAAACTCATCCAAGATACTCCAAATTTAGTCACTGAAATGGTAGTGCTACCAGACCAGAGTTAAAGCATCTGTTCAGACGTTCATTATTAAGAGTTTTGAGTACTACGTGAGTGTGTAACTAAAGATGTCTCTCCTTTCAACTCTCCCTGTTTGACAGGTTGCCTCCTGGTTTCTTATCATTAGCTTTGCCTGTGCCCGTGCTTATGCTGCCCTGTTCATGCTCTGTCATGCGACTGTTAAAAGAAATGGGACTAACCAAACACATTTGAATTACAGGTTAAATCTCATTGTTATTTAAAATACTTAACTCCCCCATTTTCCTAAGATGCTATTTGTATTATATTTAATATGGGTCCAGATCCTCAAACAGCCAATCCTTTAATTACCGTGGCCAAGGGGGTTGCCCCATGCCCACACCGTACCTGATGATAGAAGTCAAATTCAGTTTTTCACACAGATTTAACTTGGCATTTCCCAAAAGCTGTGATATGTTCAGATATAGTAAAATTTAATTGTCCTGAGATTGAAAGTGTAATTGCTTTGCCCTTCCAGCCATGCTGTTATTTTGAGGACATACTAATTTTCAGAGGTATTTTAGGTGAGCCAGATCCATGTAGGTAGAGGTGGGGTAATTCCACTTGCTGAGGTAACCTATGATTTACTTCAGTGTGTTTGGCCCATGGCCTCACCCAGTCTAATGACAACCTCAGTAAGAAGGAAGGTCAATGCTGCTCCCTAGTGGCAATGGGCTTTGTGCAGACCCAAGTATTCAGTGACGTTATTTTTGTGTCCTTTCTTGTCTTACCCTCAAGTATTCTATGACATTATTTTTATGTCCTTTCTTATCTTACCCTGTCAGCACTCCCATTAAAAATCTCGATTTTTACAGGCTATAAAAATGTATTTTTCCTGAAATCTGACAAGTAATATATGATCTTTTCCAGAATTTTCATCAGAAACGGTTGTTTCAATCCCACAAATACTAGCACAAGACTAAAATATGAAATGTATGAGGCATAATCCATTATCGGAGGTTTACCTACTACTGTATTTTTTGGGATTTTAGACCTCAACCTTATTATTTAATAGTTAAAAATATCTTCTATAATTTAAAGAATAAGTAAATTATTAAAAGAAATTAAAATATTTTATTAAAGAGAAAATTAAATACAATTGAAAGCAAAAACACAAGGACGCTCAAGTACCTTGCCACTTCTAAATTGAGACTTTGAAAAATGTATTGTGAAGCAAATAAATTGTTTAAATTTGGGCAACAATTACTGCACATAGCTTTGAAGCATTATGAAACATCCCTTTTATTGCCTTACCCTCATCTTGACCCACACTCTTCTCTCAGTCCCTATTCTTGTGAATAAAGATCCTTGCATGCAATTCCCCTTTGAAATTTACTGCTTTTAATAATTCTATGTTGCACATGGGACATATGTTGCACCATCCAGTCAAGAGCTGAGCAACTTTCTTCCAAGGCACTGAGCCATTTTTTTCAACAAAAAGACTCAGAAAATTGAGACCTAGGCCAGAGGATTGTGCTGGCAACAAAATGATTTCTGCCAAGCACACTGAGGACCTACACTCATCAGCTTCTATTCACAGAGATCGGTGCACTACTCTATAATTAAATATTTAAGCTCATTTAAACCAAAATATTCTAAAGTAAACTGCCACTCAGTATAATCAATATGAAGGGGAAGCTGCTTAAATATTCAGATCTAACATAATGTTTTTTATTTCACAGTGTAATTGGACTCCCAGAAGAAGAGGACTGGCCTAATGATGTTGCCCTTCCAAGAAATGCTTTTACTTCCAGACCTGCACAACCTATTGAAAAATTTGTACCAGATATTGATGAACTAGGCAAAGACTTGCTTCTTGTGAGTTCCTGTTTGTTGTTCCCCAAGTCGCGTGACTGATAGTTGCCACTGTGCATGCAACATACCAAGAAACACTTAAGTGTCCATTTAATGGCGTTATTAAAGGAAAGTTCAAAAGTAGATAGACAAATTCATGTAAATGTGTGAAAAAACAGCAAAAGACACTGCCTTTGGCTCACGAGGCGTCAGAGCTGAGAATAGTTAGAGATTAGGAAACTGAGTCAGGGAAGTACCTGTTTGATCTGTCTTTAGACCTTATCATTAGTTCCTCATTACTGACCAGTGCAGTGCCACTTATTCAGACATTCTAATTGTATAGGCCTGAAGTGAGTATAAAAATAGATCTACCATTTTTGGTGGTATACTGGATCCAGAATAAATCAGGAGATAGGCATGCCTTCCATCGAGTGCTGAAAACTTTAGGCTTGGAATTCATCAGTTGTTGCCTCTTACAAATGGCAAGACTGAACAGAAGCAATCAAACTGGGCTGGTACAGCTATTCCTATCATTTGTATAGATACATTAGAAACCCCAGTCCTTGAGTTCAATCTTCAAGTGGAATATAGGGAGTAACCTTGCCTCAGTTTGCCTCTTACTGTGCTTGTTGAAATCGAGTTAAATTTGTTCTCTAGAAGTCTTTAAAAGATCTTGATTCATATGGGCTAGGTAGACTGGGCTCAGTGCAATTCTTCAAAGACTTGGTGCATCCCTTCAGGAACGACTGTCTGTCGCCAATGTTATCTCAACAGCAAATCGTCCTCCATTGTCCTTATGACTGCAACTCCCAGCTGCAGAAAGCTGAACTACATCTAGACACTTGAAATAACAAGGGAGAAACACATCTGTTGTGCTTGCAGACAGCCTGCAAGTGGAAGCTAGACATGGGACAAGAATTAGATTCTGGGAACCACAGGGTATAATATATGGCAGAGAGCTCAGTGAATGTGAGGCATGATGGGAGGGAAGGAAGAAGAAGACAAATATCTATGCCTGGAAGGTGAGGTGGGAAGGGAATCTGTTCATGTTAGGCAAAGAGATGATAACTGGGAGCCACAGATAAAAGGGGAGAGTAGGATTGGAAATCACTGAATTATATTTCAGAAGTTAAATGATAGAAGTTATGGTACAAGAAAAGAAAGGAGTAGGAAGTGGTTAGACAAGTAAGAAGAATAGTATTTGGAGGTGAATGAAGGAAGAGTGAAGAACAAGGTATAAAACGCAGGGCTGCAAGAGAGATTTCAGAGCTAGCTGGACAAAGGCTGGGATACAGATCTGGGAAGAAGACCATCAAAGCGCAGCTAGAAAGAAAAGAGAGACACTGAGCACAGAACATTGGCATGTCCTGTGCATGTGAATTCGAGAAAACCTACATTCTGGGATTTCCTAAACTATGAACACTTGAATTTCCTAGCATGTAATTTTCTTCTAGTTTAGGGGATGCCATGTTCTTATACTGTGACCCCACTGTTTTAATATGATGGTCATCATGCACCACCTACAGAGACCCTATTGTGTCTCATACTGATCATAAACTGAAGGTGCTATGCATAATGTATGTATGCAATGATAGCACTGTTAACTGTACATTTTAGTTAAAACCAACTTCTTTTCATACTTTCAGAAATGCTTAGCATTCAATCCAACCAAGAGAATATCTGCCTGTGTTGCCCTCTCTCACCCGTATTTCCATGATCTGGAGAAATTCAAGGAGAATCTGGACTGTCACATGTCATCCAGCCAAAACTCCAGTGAGGTGAATGCATCATAAGTGCTGACTGAAGATGAACCATAAATGAACAAGACATGTAGCTGACAAGGCCACTGTCCCATACAAACCACATAGCTGTTCTAGCGAAGATCATTATTTGGAGGTTTTATGCACTTATCTTTTATTTTGGGATTGTGATGTGCTTATCCATGGAAATCAATCTAGTTTACCTTTATCAGAGCAATGCAAGGGCCAGGGCTTTGGCCTGCTCCCATTGTAGCTTTATGTTTGTTTTGTTTTTGTCTTGTTTATCTACCTGGGAAAACTCCAGACGAAGAGAAGCTGCTGACTGGTTTTGCCGCCGTTTTATTCTTCTAATATTGAATGCTGCCAGTGTGGAGTTTGATGATCAAGTCACTGCCAAAACATGATGCAATCTCTCTCTCTCTCTAGCTGCTGAAGCATGATGTGGTACTTTTTTATTATTATTTTTGATCTCTTACAGTGATACAGAATGGCATTGAAATATCAGATCTCTGCAACCTGCAGTTAACTGATACGTGTTAATACATCCAGCTACTGTTCATTCATAGCATATATGCAGGTGCTTCCCCACTTGAAAACCTGGATGAGTTATTTTATTGTTTCATTGCTCTATGAATATAACAGTGATGATGGTGATCATAAAAAATGTACCAACTTTTAGGTTTTTTCATGCACAAGCAAGTTATTGTCTAGCTGTGTTTGTGTGCACATTTCAAAAAACTGTCTTGTTCTTAAAAACTCCTTCAGTTTCCAAATGGCTGGTTTGTGTTGAAATGCAGGCACATTCTAGCCCATCATCTAACCCATCATTTTCCCCTGGAAACAGCTGCAAGTATATTTTCCTTATCTCATTCGAAATTTTTTGATATGCAGCTCAAAGACATGAGCAGAGCCAATGAAAATCAATACAGATTTTCACCTTCAACCTGTTCTGATTAGCAGCCAAAAAGGAAAAAAGAAAAATATTTCTGGTTCAGAAGCAGAGAATCCTATACCTGTAATAAGCACAGATAAGTATTTGTGCTGCTGTATGCTGTATACTGCGCTGCCTTACCTGCAACACCCTCCCATGCATCACAAGTGCATAACATTACTGTCTCAAAATCCCTCAGATGTCACTTATTAAACAGACTTGTTTTCTATGCAGAAATGTATGACCTTCTCTCCTAAACCACCATGTGGGTATACTGGCACATGCCTCTCCACTAGGGTTAATGTGCTATTATTGAATGTCAAAATAACTAAGCAATTCACATCTTTATAGCAGTTATTTTAAATATTACATGAGAATTTTATATTTAGTATTTTTACCTTAACTAAAATATATTTTCAGTATTCTGAAAGGAAACTTTTATTTTTTTAATACTGTACTGGGGAAAATTAAATATTTTAAATCCATTAAAGCTGTTCCCTAGCAGTAATTTAGTGCATTTACCTGGATATGACTTGGGGGAAAATATTGGTCCAACAAGTATAACTGATGCTAAGTGAGGCAGCCAGCTTTGCTTACTCCTGTGACAGTCCCTTAGGCTTCTCTCTTCCTCATTTCTATTTGATCTTGTCTAGGTAGTGAAGCAGCATTATATCCTCATCGACAGCATGCTTGGCAGAAGCAGGTCCTTAGCAGTGAGTTGAGCAATATAATTTTTCTAGTTGCGACAGAGGAACTTGTAGCCTTCTCCCTGGCAAGTCTCTCTTGTGATAGACTGACTGATGTGGCAAACTTCTCTGTTAACTCTGTTTCAGGTATCTGCGCTGTCTGGGACATGGTCCACTACCAGGATCGTGAGTGGATCTTACCTGTCTCTTGGATAAAGCTTTTTGTTACTGTTAGACACATAAGTATGTGATATGGGGTTATATTAGGTCTGCTTTAGAGAAAACAGATTTTAAAAGGACCACTTGCATACTTGCATGCAGTGGCCTGTGCTTTTCTTCATGCCCAGAATGAGCCTATGCAAAACTTACCAGCATGAACAGGCAAGTTGCAAATTAGGCCTGGCAAGAGCATGCACAAGGCATCTGCACACAGAGATAGCACAGATGCATAACACAAGAATTTTGGAAGCTCTGTGAGCAGCCAGTTGAAAGCCAGGGAGTGGTCACAGCAGCTAACCCTCTAATGCTGGCCTTCCCTTTGTCATTCTCTCTGTTCCTACATCCAAGGGGAACTGTAAACCCACTGTACTGGTGTTCTCCCAACTCCACTCCTCCGTGGGTCAATGGACCCCAGCGTGACTGATTTTTAGCATTCAAAGAAAAGGATGTGCCAGGATGAAATTTTTGCTAACAATTTTTAAACACTAATTAGAACAACAAACAGAGACAAAATTCAGGAGACTCTTGCGACAGTAGCAAATAGAAAAGTTTTCTACAGAGTTTAGCACTTTCAGAAACATTCCACATTTTACCTTGTGCTGAGTTGTCTATCATACATACCTTATCAGGGCATTCAGCTGGTGTGGCTTCCCAGCAACTGTTCAGGGAACTCTCCCCAGAGCTCTCCACCGACTCATATGGGGTGAAAATGTAGGGGAGAAGACAATATTTTCAAATTAGGCTTAAAACTCTCAGATAGAAATGTACGTCTGTTCCATGTAGGAAGAACTTGTTGTATTAAGCTTAGCAAAGCAAAGGGTAGAAGAGAATATGATTGCTGAATGTAGATACATTATTAGGGTAAAAAAAAAGGAGAGGAGAGAACACTTTAAGCCAAAGGTTAGTGTTGGCCCAAAAACTAATGAAAATGTGGAAATCACAAGAAGTTAACTACTGGAGGAGTATTTCCCAAGCAGTAGTATCAGACAAAGAGCTCAGAGAGCAGCAGAGAAAAACGGAAGTTGGTTTATGGAATCAAAAGCAGAGCTTCTGCAACGTGGTGCTGTATGTTGTCTAATGTAGTAGGATCAGGTTATAAATGAGGTATTCAGGAGAACAGCTTGCAAAGGGCTACATTAATGGTCACATTCTGGAACATCCTTCCAGTGGAAATGGAAGGAACATAAACAAGAAATCTAAGTTCTGTCTTGGCAGGGTTAGGGAAAATATTTCTCTAATAGGGTCCTTATGGTAGCGAGGGCCTGGATTCAAAGGACCAATAATTTTTCAAATTACCTCCTTTTCCAAATCTCTAGGAAGAAATTCCATTTGACATGCCATAGGCTTACTCTTATTCCAGTCTTCCCTGCCAAACTGTGGGGCTTCACTTACACTAGTAAAATGAGAAAGCCTGTTCTCTGGCTGGGCAAAGCACTGTCATTGGCTAAAATCATGCCAGGAGTCGTGTTTGTAATTAAGCAGCACAGACAATTGTGGGACTGTGCTCAAACCCATGCCCTTGCTCTTCTTATTTTACACTGGTATATCTCTAGTATTTTAGTACCTTTACTCATTACTGCTATTATGTGTAGGATGTAGGAATTGTATATGTGAAAAAGAAAGCGCTGTGATGAAAACTCTTTGTACACCCTTTAAATAAGATTTCAGAGTGCAGTTCTTCTTAGTGATAGCTAAGCCTGTATGTGTTCTACAGGAGTGGTTCAACAGCAGCTAAAAAATAGTGAATAACAAAAGATATATTAAATATAGCTCCTTGAGCACCCACAAGCAGACACTGTGCTCTTCTCAGCAGAGAACAGGGTGTTCTAAGTAAGGAAGGAGCAATTTCTATCTCCCACCAACCTTTTTTTTTTAATCTGCAGAAAAAAATCAACCAAATAGCCAAGGGAAAAAAAATCATCAAAACCAGCTAGTTAAGTGCTAATTGCTGCACCATAGAAATCCATATGGAGCAGCCCTTTTCTCTCTTCACCCTGTCCACACAGCCTTCCAGTTCTTTTCCTTCAACTTCCTTATGGAAACAGGTTTCAGTTATGCTCACAAGTGCTATTTCCAACAAGGTTCTTCCAAATTTTCAATAGCTGCGCAGTGTCAATGTCCCCTGTGTCATCCCTATTATCAAGTGTTGCTTCTTCTAGTCCCGCAGCCTAGAACCAGTGATTAGAAAAGAATCTCTTTGTGCACCTCCTTGCTTAGCCTTAGTTTTGCATACACCTGTGTTGCCTTCTGTGTGCCTAGTAAAATTCTAAAAATAGGGTTTGTGCATATTTCTGTGTAGGCTGTGCCCACACTCCAGGTTTTTTTCAGCCTATTAGTCCACATTGGTAAATGTTTGAGTGTCTTTTCCTGTTGTTTCTGTCCTAAAACACAAAAAAATGAGGATGTCATGTTTGCAAAGTAATTGTTGGTTGTTTTGATGAATAAGAAGAAAATATTGTGCCATGCTACTTTTCACAGGTTCACTCACTGTCTTTTGAGAAGTGTGTTTTATAATACATGTTATTCTCTCTGCTGTTAGGTATTAGACCAACTTTAATATGGAAAATAAAGATAAAACGTTTGATTCTGGATGATTGTGGTAGAGCAGATTTTTTTGTTTCCAAAAAAGATCAGACAAAAGATACTGCCTTCTATAAAAACCCAAACAAGCAAACAAAACCAGAAACAAAACCACAAACAGTTGACACTTAGTAAAGATTAAAAAGGAGATTTTAAGGAACTATTGGGAAAATATTGTCAGGACAAGTGAAAAGGAGCATATTTTTAATGTGAAAAATGTAAATGCAAACAATGTGTATTAAATATGCATTGAAACTGATAGTTTTTCACTGACCTTGCAAAGTTGATAGGGTTTTATGGAAAAAAAGCATCCAAATACAAACTTATTCTAACTACCACTTAAATCTTCGTTTGCACTAAAGCAACCTATAGTGTTTTACTGAAAGGAGACGTCATGTTAAACTTGTGATTTATTTTGATGATGTCTCCATGAATATGTTGTAAAGCTCTCAAGCTCACCGTCCATTTTTGAGCAAGTAAAATTTGCATTCACACTATTAGCTTTCTGCACCTTAAGCCCATCCACATGCCAGAAAAGAACACATTTTCTATTGTTTACGTGGATATTCGATCCCAGTGACATGCTCATGTTAAATCCAGCCAAAGACCAGTCTCTGCCACTGAGTGGAAAATGAATTTTCACAGACTGACAGCTTCCTTTGTACAATTACTCCTAAAAAGTTTGTCATGAATATTGAGCAATATGGAGCCCTTCCTCTTATTCACACATACGTCATGTTATGTGAATTCTCAGCCTTTTTTAAAAGAAAAGAACACCCAGTTCTTGAATGTTAGGATTAATTTGAGTGGCTAGATGAGGGGGGAAATTATGCAATGCAAAGGTAGGAAAAACGGACAAGAGAGTAGGACCGTTGGCAAGTGAATTTGACTGTATGGAAAGGTTGCATATAAAAGTAGGGGGAAGACTCTTTTCCCACATTTTGTTTCTCATGTCATTTACTTTCATAAACATAAGATGATAAAGCAAGACTCTTGAGTGGGATTTTAGTGCCAGATACTTATTATGCCAACTCAAGTTATGATTTCCAGTGCAATTTTTCAACACAGCAGCAGCTCTGTTTTTTAAATCAGATTTTGTAGAAGCAAGAGCTTTTTCTGGGTAGATACAAAAAAAAATCTTATGAGAGCAGATTAAGCTGGCCACAGAGACAGCGTCTGTAGTTCAGCTGCAGAAATGGAGAACGTACAGCTCTACTGCAGGAGAGCCACTAACAGTCTATTAATGTGCAATGGTGTGCACTGCCAGCTGACTCCTGCTGCAAACTGCAGCCCGGTTTTGGCAATCCAAAATAGCATGGTTTTGCACACTTGGATTTTGATAAGATTATCCGCATGCAAGTTTTGCTGGATCAGTCCAGGTGGTTCACCATCTTACAGGAGCAGGTCTGAGAGCAGAGCAGGTCTGTCCGAAGCCCAGTGCAAGTAATAATGCAAAGTCATCTGCCGTGGGAAAAGTTTTTGTAGGTTGTACAGCAGGAATGGAACTTTCTGAGCTGCTGTGCCAATCTGAGAGCTAATGTTAACTATTGTTATGCATCCTCCAAAAACGCAGAATGTGAGACACGTAGCATTTTGCTGTGTTCAGTCTGTGTGTGTGGGTGGCAGGGTAAGTGTTGGCACAGAGTGGCTCATTTTGGTCCTTCCATTAAGCGTGAGCAACTAGGCTTGGCACAGAGACAAATTTCACAGTTACAGGGATGGGAAACCTCTAATTCTACACAGTAGTTCTCTGGCATTTGTTAAATACGTATAGGGACAGATCACCCAACCACTCAAGCTGTCCTTTCCTTATCCCTGATCATCCTTCTTTGACTGTGAAAGAAACCATGGGAGTCTGTTCCTCAACAGTCTTCCAGCATGCTGCTTCTTCTCACTGCAGCAACAGTTGCCTGTCACTTGTATCTGACCCCGCTCATAGTTGCACTGCCACTGAAGAAGCTGTGAGCTAAATTACTGCCTTGCAATTCTGCAGCCCCCCAGTCTGCAGGCAGCCAGTGATTTGTACTCTGGTTTTAACTTGCTCCTAATTAGGAAGTGGGAAATAGTACAGTCGAGTATGGCAAAGTGTGTGCTACTTTTCGGTTCAAGCAAAGCAATGAGCTAGAATAGATTAGATTGACCATAAAGTATTTGGTCAGCCAAAACAATTTTTAATTTAGAAGATCATTAACTAAGTACAGAAGATCCCTGGAAAACTGTCTGTGATGCACACATTTACAAGAACACCCAATGATGCTTCTGTTATCCAGAAGTTTTTAAATGGATGCAATGCCAACCTCCTACTGCTTACCCCTCTTCCTCTCCCCTTCCCAAGATCACTATTCCCAGGGAGAGGTTTCCTCCCAGCATGAGGCAAAGCAACTATGAAGCAGTCCCCAACTGTCAAGATAACTTATGTTCAGGTAGGCAGTCAAGATCATTCCTTTTCTTTTGGTTATGGCAGTTTAGATTAAAGACCCCTGCCACAAGTACTAGGGACAAACAGACCTTAACCCCCAAAATATTCTCCTTAGGAAAGTCTTTCCAGGATCTAGAGGGGACAGTATACTTAGTATTTCTATGACAGTTGACTTTTTTTCTCTTTTTAAACAGCAGTGTTGTAAGAACTTTCCTAAGAAAATTCCCACTACAGAAAAAAGATAATACTGATTTCTCGATATTCTGTGGGAAAAGAAAATGTATTCCAGGGAGATGATACATCTCAAACAATCATCCTTCATCTGTGATTAAAAAAAAACCAAAACAACAAACCAGGTTCAAAATGTAGCCTGGGTTTACAGAGTGCTAGTTAAATAAGAAGTGCTTCTCAAATGTTTTTCAATCAAGACCCAAAACCCATCATGATTTCTTGCAGGGACTTTATCTTGGAGTCCCTTTTAAGAAAGGTGGGTGTGGCCATGGGTTGCAGTTAAAATGTACATGAAAAATTGGATGCTGGCTAGAAGTTTGTGGATGTGAGGCTGTACAAGGTAGCTTATGTAAGCTCAGTGGGGATGTGCTTGTATGAAAGTTTTGGTTGCCATGCACATTTTGAACTGACGTTACCTATCATAACATGATAGAAGGACTGCAGCATCATGAGATAAGAGGCCTTTTCTCCCTAGATGTCTAGCAACCCAGTGGTCTTCCAGCTTTGCTTTGTTTTGATTTGATTTGTTTTATTTCCCCTCCACCACTGCCATTGTCCTTTCTATTGTGCATAAGTTGAATAGAAGTTCATTACCGTGTAGTTTACCAGCTCAAAAAGAGAGCAGGACAACACTGTCTAAAAAATTTGATCATTCTCTAGTGGTCAGTGTTAAGGGAATCACATAATCATAGAATATGCTGAGTTGGAAGGGATCCATCACAGTCATTGAGTCCAACTCCTGGTCCTGCGCAGGACACCCCAAGAATCACACCATGTGCCTGAGAGCATTGTCCAAACACTTTTTGAACTCTGTCAGGCTTGGTGCTGTGACCACTCCCCTGAGAAACCCACTCCAGTTCTCAACCATGCTCTGTGTGAAAAACATTTTCCTGGTATCTACCTAAACCTTCCCTGACTCACCTTCATGCCATTTCCTTGAGTCCTGTCACTGGTCATTAGAGTGAAGTTGTCTTGTTTAAATTCTAACAAATAGAATTCAATATCCATGACACCTGCCTTGCATTCAGCACTGTTAAACCATCTCACTGTCATTCTCCACAGTGTTCAAAATCACTTTGCCTGGAGATTGAATGTCCCTCCTACAACCCACTTGGAGTCACAGCAATGTGAGAAAAAGAAGTTTACATTATGACGGTGCTTTTTGGTAAGGAGTGAGAGCCAGTTCCAATTGAAACAGGGACTGAAAGAGTCTCGAGGTCTCTTAGCCAGGCATGTTTCACAAGCAAGGCAGTCACTTCTGTTAAGGCAAGAAACACATTTTAAAATACTTAAGACAGGGAAAATATAGAGGTGCCATTTATTTTTGCAATAGGACCTGTTTTCTCCACAAAGCTATATGATTTTGGCACTGAAACTAAGTCCACAGATGAACATTCATTCTCTCCTTGTAGTCTTTACTTTCCATGTAAATTCTTAACAAGCATTCAGATTAATGTATTTATGGTCCTTTTCATTCCAGTTCATTTAAGTGGTCTGTATCTGCCTTTGAATCTCATATGGGTTTTATTGTTAATGTAATATTTTGCTGCATTACTTTGAACAGCTTTAAAAGTATAATGTCTTCAAATGCTCTAGTTAAAGAAAAATTATACCCTCAAAATAATGTCTTAGAAGTTGGAACTGTATACTTTGGAAACAATGTTTATATTATGACTCGCAAAGGCATCACAGGGTGCTTTTGTGGGTGTGTCTGTCTTTTACTTTCTGTGTAACAGTGTGTATTTGTACTTCCTCACTAGCTTGATACTCTTCTCTCTGAAGGCTTAAGTCTGCAAACACATGAGTACTGTACCTCACCTGAGCAGTCCCACAGAGTAGAGGGGGTTTACTCATGTGAGTATAGTTGCTCACAAAAAGTATTTGCAGAAAAAGGCTTTACTTTAGTAACTGACTGTAGTTGTGAGGACACATGGTTAGTAACAGCACCAAGACACCAGTAAATGGGGTCAGTTTTTATTGAAGATGTGGACACATTTATCTTCAAGTTATTTGACATTAATCTAAATTATTGCTATTATAATTCAGTATATTATTTCTTATGAAAACACATTAGTCCTGCGAAAGGGTAGTTGCAAAAAAAGTATTGAGTCTTGCTGCTTTATTTGCATTTAGTATACAGTTTTGGTTTTTGAAGGGAAGCTAGCTTCTTAGAGAGACAGAAAGATAGATCAGTCAGAAAAAAATTATACATAAGCTTCATACTGTACATTGAGTTTTGCAACTAAAGTAGTATGTGTGTTCAGATTTAATATTTTTTATGCTTTAGAGCATCTTTGTCTTAATATGTAAAGGAATAAGCGGATTACTTCGAAATGCTATTGTAGAGCTAATTTTACGG